TGCTTCAGTTTACTCACCCGTATACTGGATAACAGCGAGTAGTTGGGAGTTAACCTGCGATGAACTGGTTCCCATCCATCGAGGGATTCTATCACCTTCTCATCTGCTTGTGCCATATGAAACTGGAGCTTAGTACCGACCTTTTATGCCGTACGAAGGCCCGTCAAGGATTTACTTACTTACCTACAATTATTTCTGACAGAATAATCATATCAGAAGTGCTCTATAAAATGCAGTGTAAGTTGTCGGGAAAAAAATTTCTACATAAACTTCACTGTCTGACTATACAGTTTCATCAACAAATTTTTGCATATGTTGCATGCGCCTTCTTAGTGTTTGTAACGAACATTTTATCAGAATGATCAACTATTCACATTAATTGACATTTTCTAATCAAGCCATTTATTACAAGTATATTAAAATGTCATTTATTAGAAGTGTATTAAAAGTAAAATACTGTTTCCCTCCCAATTCGAATGGTTCATAATAACATTGTGAACGAAAATGTTTTTTATGCTATATAATATGTCTATTATGTAAATAGCAGCAGATGCCTATTGAAATAATTCAACGGTAATTTTTCCTAAAAATAATGATGAATATATAAAAAATGTACAACCAATCCAATCCCTTGAATCATAGCGCATATGTAAAATGATTGTCTAGTGGGCAATTTACAGCCGTCTTTTGTTATTCCATGTGTTATTTCAATAAGGAAAATTGCATTTTGTTTGTTTTTAAGCAAAACAAATTGACTGCAATACATTGTTGACAAAAATGTTTGGGTTTCGATGCAATGGTTGCATCCAGCAAAATAGAGCGCTCAGGTTCTCTAAGAAGCCTAGGAGATTTCGACAGGGTACAGTAAAATCATGTATCTATATAATAACGACATGAAAAAACAATAAACAGTATAAATACAAGTCAGTAATTTGTAGATTAAAAGATTGTAAATTTCGCTACTAATTTTTTTTCCGTTAAAGAACATCTAAAAATTTCAATTCTAAACCTAAAAAAGTGTGAAATCGTTTATTCAAAACGTTTCTAAACGTCAAAAACTTTAAACTAATTTAGATGAATGTTGAAGGTGGCACAGAATATCTTCTTCCCAATTTCTTGACAGAAAAAGAAGTCAAGCGATATAATAACAGTCAAGACTAGAGATGATTAATTGGTTACTTGATAGACAAACCAGCACTCATCATCTGAGAATAATTTAACATAGAGTGGATCCTGCGAAAACAAACTGTCGACTTAGTACAGTATGCGCTGTAGAATTCCAATTTTTGATTAAATTTAAACTTCGATCCTTTTATTCGTTTCAGTGATTTCCTAAGTAATTGCTTACTTAAATTATTTCTTTGTGTGGGAGTGTTAGAACACCTTGAACGCTTTTAACATAATTTTAGTTATTAGTTATTATAATTATATGTTAAAATCTATTTATAATATTGTTAAATGATTTGTGTGTGTGTGTTTGCTGTGACATTTAACGTTACTGAATGTTTTACCTTTCAGGTATTGATCTGACTCGGAGTTCTCAATCCGGTCTTTTGCTATAAAAATCCAGGATTCTTGTGCATTGGCTATCTTGATTCCAATCTTGAAGAAACAGTTAAGCTGACACATTATTATGCCAGTACAATGGAGGACTTTATGCTGGAATATGAAGACTTGGACCTGGTTCCATTGACTCTAAGTCACCTCCAGAGTCACTGTAAAAAATATATATATATATATCTGTAACAGCATAAATCAAACATCATGGTTAGTCACACCAAGCCTGTACTAGTATAATATCTGGATATCGATCCAAGAATGCTTAAACTAGTACTGACACCACAGTTCAAGGAGATGACCAAACCAAATATAACTCTTATGTGAATGAATTGCGATTTTTTACTCGTCTGACAAAAATCGAAGTATTTTCTAAATGTTTGTATAGTCTTAAGATGAAGAAGAATGATCTGTTATAAATTAAATAGAATAATAAACACTAAGAAAGCAAAAGAATAATAATTTCCTTGTTCTTGAACTGCATTCTAAGGATTCATCGGCTACACGGTCTGTAGAGTCTCATTGTTTTAGGCCAATATATTTGTAAGTTAGAAAGGCAGCCACTCAACTATACAAAGAAAATATACTATAATTCAGAAAGGTTATGAATCTATTCAGGCCATTGACTGATTATGTGTTGTATGACAACAGTTTTAGCTTGTCATGCTGATCACTATGCAAACCGTTCTACGTACGTCGAATAAATAAAATATATGAACACGAAATCAACAAATCATAGTATCTCTGCTTATATAGTTTCCTTTATTATTCCCTTTCTGTTCACATAAGATTGTAAGAATTTGTACAATCTTATTAAGCCTAAGGGGAAAACTGAAAATAGGAAATCGGTCTTTTCCACCCACACCCCCGTCTTGCCCGTCCTCCATTCAGCGGTAAGTTTGATAGCTTATAGCTTATAACGCTAAAAATCGGGTTTCGATACTCACCATGGCTAGAGTACACATAGCCCACTGTGTAACTCTGGGCTTAGCAACATATACTTTCCCTTTCCCTCTTGGTTTGCAGAGTCATCTATGAGACATTAGTTGAAACATTTACCTGTATGAGCTTCGCATGATGGGAAACAACAACTTGTGATAAATAAATATTTGTTTAGTATCTGTAAAAACAGTAAGCTTATTTTTTCTTTGTAGCAATGGCTATATTTTCGTGGAATTTAAATTTATTATGAATACACAGGAAAAATAAACAACGTCAAGAAAAGTTTCAGAAAACAGGAATAAAAAGTTCAGTATTTCAGTTTTTCTTTTGTCCCTCGTAATGTTAACACCAGCACGCAAAACTTCTTTAATTTCAACTGTTTATACGTAGTTACTAGAATAAAAACTATAAAAATCAAGATTTCACATTTTTAGGATTTCAGTTATTTTAACTGTAGATAACACTTTTTTTTTTTACAGGTTCGTTCAAGAAATTAAGAATGATTCTGATCGGATAATTTACATGGGTCTTCCGAGTGTGTATGTAAAATAATGAGACTGGTAAAAATGAAAACTGTCTTTGTTAATGAACAAACAAACAAAAAACGCAGCGTACGTACTTGCGCATACGAAAAGACAATCGGTTCTATTAGGCTGTGATAAGTCCCATAACTTTCTCTCTCTTAGGAGTGATCTCTGCAGAACTAAAGACGATGATTTTGGGGTAAGTCTTTACTTGATGATTTTCTGGTAGAACTGAACTAAAAAAGTGCGCCTAAATCAAACAGGAAAACTCGGTTTCTTTGTCCAATGAACAGCATCATCTCATGACCTCTGTTCTCTCACTTTATTGGTGTTACACTTAAACAATGTCAAATTGGCCAGCAAAGGATATTATAGTGCCAATACTTTCAACTCGGATGCTACAAATTGCTACAATAGACGTTATCTTCTATATAGAACCAAGAAACAAAGCAACTAGAACAAGGCAATCTCAGCAACTTTCTGGACCATGCGTTTATATCAAAACGTCATACAAACCAACTAAACTAAAAAAAAATAAAAAAATACCTATATTTCTAATTAGGTGGATAACATATACTATACCTACATATCACATAATACATAAGTTATGTGTTATCATATAATAGCCCCAAAACAAGCAGTAAATCGAATAACAGATTGGGTTTCACATTAATTTTTAGTATATTAAAAGCTTATCACTCAATAATTTACAAGAATAAATTAACCACATTAATGCTGCATATTCTTGAAATTCTGTATAAATATAGGATCACTATGATGAGTAAAAGACATTTCAGGACACCAGACAAATATAATACACCACAATATGTAAGACTTGTCTTATTCTTTTGATTTGTCCTTGTCTAAGGTTACTCATGAGGAGCGTGATTCCTGAAATTGGTATAACTCAGTGAGAGTTGGTAAATCAAATAATAGGTTGTGCTTTAATTACTAGAAGACAGAAAGCATTATGTCTTTACCGCAAAAGGCAGATTTGCTGTGCCAATATCACACTTTCAAGTCAAACAAAAATTATGTTTTGATATACAATATTACTTATGTCAGCCTAGCTTGTGCAAGCTCCATTACTTCAGGGTGAGATGACACAGAAGTTTTGCTAAGCCAGTACAAACTCTATAGAATGGCTACTGTGTTATGTAACCTTAGCTGGGGGCGTGGATTAACAAAATATTACGATTTTTTGCACACTCATACACAACAAGTTAGTGCTTTACCAAATGACCTAAAGGATTTACACCGTGTGAAATCCTAGTATGGAGCTTTTCAAAAACTCAAACTACAACATTCACAAACAAGACCTGTCCTCGGGCCTTATCTCAGGGTTGTAGGACAACTACTGGTTGGGTGCCTGTTTTTTGTGTTTTTTTCTAATAGTAATTTAAGTTTGTTTTTTTTTCCCTCAGATATTACCTCAGGGTCGTGAAATCGTGCAATGAATCCCGCATTAGGTACCAATTTATCTGTGGTAACTGCCTCCTTTACTTACAATACAAACTGCTCCCCAGTGACACAGCGGAATGTCTGCGGACTTACAAGCCTAGAATCAGGGTTTCGATACCCGCAGTGGGCAGAGCACAGATAGCCCATTGTGTAGCTTTGTGCTTAATTACAAACGAACTGACACATAATGATAAATATTTTTGGAAAAAATTCTTTAACATATCTGAAGTGAACATAGTTACTTTTCTAACTGAACAAAAAGAAATACAGATCATAATTAATAAACTTGGTAACTCATGCGTTTTCGCAATATTTATTTTGCATAAGCTCTCGAGGTTTGATTTTTCCACTTCTTGATCTTATGTGTTTTCTATATATTGTATATATATATATATATATACACACACACATATATATAATTTCAAACCAGATTATTTAAAATCCCCCAGGTGGTCGTGGCCTCTGTTTTCGATCGCAAGCGGTTTAACGGTGAAAGCTGACGATGAGGGGTGTGTGTCTACGTAGACCAAAGTTATAAGTGAAATGTTAAGTTTTTATTTTTAAATATTTAGGCTTGTAACAGTTATTGTGTTCTTTGGTGTCGTATATTGTAGAGCTTGGACTCAAACCTTCGTTATTTTCTTCACAACTTGTAATTTATTCAATACCAATTAATATGACAGAATTAGATAAAAGCTTGACTTCAATGGACTGGTTGCCAAAACTAAATGTGAAGGGAACTCTAAACGGAGAGCAGATATGCAACAAACTTGAAAGTAATAACTATGAAGAAAAGTATTCTCTAGGAAAACCTATGCTAACTCTAAATTCATCTCCAGGAAAGGGAAAACCTCCTTATAGCTATGCAACTTTAATATCATTTGCTATTAATAGTTCTCCTAAGAAAAGAATGAGATTAAGTGAGATATATTCTTGGATTTGTAGAAATTTTCCTTATTACGAAGGTGCAGGAAATGGGTGGAAGGTAAGCCCATTTGTATCCTTATAATACTTTAACATATTTCATTGTAGAGTACCACTTTTATTTTGTTTCTGTAGGATTATGTAAAAAATAAGTAACTTTACCATTGGACTTGAGACATAACATGTTGACAAAACTTTGAACTTCAAATTGAAGCCGTAAAAAAGTCTTAAGTCAAGATTTACAAAGGTGGTGCTTAATCAAGTTAATATTTCGTAGTGCAATTTGGAGAGGAAAGCAAGTCAAAAATCTGTAGACGATGAAACAGAAAATATATATTTATATAGACATTTATGATATCTCTTTACTGAAGAAATGGTAAAATAAAATTCTTTAAGAATGTAACTACTAATAAAACATTTAATATTTGTTTTCAAATTTTTGTTAAAAGTATTACTTAAAAATCCTGTGAGAAGATGTAGTACACATTCTTCTACTGAATTATTAAAAGTTTTTCAGGTTATTTTCAAGGTATCAATTAGATTGTGGGGTAGATGCTTATTAAAATGTTAAAGGTACAATATTGTGGTTTCATTGTTAGAATAAAATTGAAGAATCAAGAACACTTTAGAAGGATTTAGAATCTTGGCATTTTCAAAATTGAACAATTAAGAAAATAAACTTCCTTTATCTATACTTGTCTGGTTTTGTTGTTAATTATAAGAAATTTAAAGAAGGAAAGCTTCCTATTTTGAAGACTGGTATTCTTTTAATGAGATTTTTTGTTATAGACTTTGACCTCTGAATTAATTTATATATAGAAATTATGTTATTATGGATATGTAACATTTTGAAATTGTTATTAAAACTTGTGCTTATACTACATATAATGTTGTTTATGTACACACAAAAAAAAGTATTGATTGTACTGTATTAGATAACAATAAGCTTTAGAACTAAAAATATATATACATATATATCATTCCAATACACTTGTCCTGTAAACAAATATTTTGAATAACTATATATATGCCAATAATACCATAAGAATTAAAAGTACTATTGTTTTTTCATAAATGAACATGTCTCATTGTAATATCCAAAAACAGTTTATTTCACTTTGTTGGCATTGTGCTACATACAAGTCTTTATTTATATACTTAGTACGTAAGTGTATTCACATGTATTTAGTTTTACAACTTATTTTTATAAATTGTTAATCAATGGCAGTTCTCAGATGAAAAGAGTACTAAAAAGAAGGGGAGGAGTGGCTTTACATGTAAAATGTGGGTTACATAACAGCAGTGAAGTTGAATCTGTTTGGGTTTCTCTTAGTGGTTGTAGGTGGAGAAGGCTTTTAATCGGAATTTGTTACAGACCACCATATGAAACTGATAAAGTTAATGAGAAATGTTGAATATAAGTTTAAATAGATTATAATGTCATTGGTTAAGCTACATTAGGAATATTTTGTTCAATTCTGGGCCCTTTACCTCAGAACAGACATTAAATTATTGTTTTTTTAGGACTTGGTTTAATTTGATGGATATGACAGCCTAGATGAACCAGAAGGTTTCTTCTTGTCCTTTAATGTTATGTTACATGTTAAAATGTTAAAACCTCTACTGAACTACACTTAGTTATATTGTATGTATCTTGTGGTTGTTAAAAATGCTGATATACCATATAACATATAGTAACTAAATTAACACTAAGTAACTGTCCATATTATATGTCATAAATTCTGAAATTTCTTTAAAACTTTTAATGTTCCATAAAATTTGTACTGAATTAGCAAGTTACTTTAATATGATAAAGAAATTGTCTGTTATGCATTTCAAAAGTAAGTAAAAATAAACAACACAAAATCTAAGTTTACACATTGAAAATAAAGTCAAACAAGAATATGTTTCATTTATAAGAAAAATATGTATATATTATGAATATATGGAAGTTCTTTTTTATTATTTAAAAACTTGTTATTTATATAAGAATAATGAGTGAATTTAAACAAGCCTTAGAGATTAAGAGATACAGATTTCAAAACTTTTAACATTTTTCCACAAATTGTATTTGTAAATGTTATTGCTAAATTACTTGAAATTGAATGTTACAGTTTGAATGTGTTAAGAAAGATTAAAGCTTCACAAACTGAAGATAACTCTAGAGTATATAATGTCATGTACTGTTTTCAAACACATCAGTCTTCAATAATTCAAAAAGTTGATAGATTTGTAAGAGTACCTGGATAATAATATGAAGCCAAGTCTTACATGAGTGAGACAAAATTGTACTGTGTAAGATGATATGTCATACAGGCTCTAAACATTTATTTCATAATTGACTTATTTTTTTATACATTTATATATGATCTAGAAATATAATAGGTCCCTGTTAGATTTCACAGTAGCATGCTTGGATTGGGCACAATATTTTCTGTGTTTGTTGGTTGCTATGGTGACTTACTGGCATGGCATGATTGCAAATGATTTTTTCAAATATGACTGTATATGTATATCTATTTAGTTATATAAATATTAGCTATAATATAGCTTGTAAAGAGACTTAATATACAATATATGTATAAGATATATAGGCTTGTTGATTATATTTGATTTATCATTCATTTGTCTATTTATACCTGTTTGCAGTGCATATGTAATCACAAGTTTTAATTTACCAATCAATTGTATTTCCAGGAAATAGTAAAGTTTCAATTTTATTTGAAAAAAATCTATCACTTCAATTATGTGTCTTTTCATAACTTGGCCATTAAGGTTCAAGAACATCATAAAAAAAATCTTGAAGTTTTGAAACTGCTAAGATGAAGTAGTATGTTATAAATTTCTTTGCAATATTTGTAATCAATGACAAACACTTATGAACATAATATTATTTTTGTTGTTAAAACAATTTTAAATTATAATACTTAACTTAAAAAACACAGTGAACTGTACTAGTTTTCGCTTCTAAGCATAAAGCAACTGCATTTAAGTTAAATAATTTGTATTAAAACTGTTTTCAGATATTAGTTTATTCTCTTAAAGTATTAGTATTACTATATATTAATTGTACAATAATTATTTACATAGAATGCTAACTACTTTAATCTTTTCTGAGGCATATGTAATTAGCTTTAAATAGCACTTTTATTTTGAGTTATCAAAATATAACAAGTATACTTACTAGAGTAAAACATAATTATTTGTTCCTCTTTTTATATTCTTATGTTTGTGAAATTTTTTCTGTCATGTATGGATGTTTTCCAGGTTAGATATGAGTATTATTATCAGAGATTATATTTAAACTTAAAAGCATTATCTATAGTCTTAATGTTAAGTACCCCTGTAGATCTTTTTTTTTTCCAAAGCATTATTATCAGCCATAGACAGCAAAAATGTGGCAAGATGATAATATGGAGGTTTGAGTCATTAATATTTAATTACAGTAGTTAAACTTTAAGAATCTAAAATATAAATGTTATCATGTGGAAACTTCAAGCACTTTTGTAGAATCTTGAAACATACAAATGTATAGACAGATTGAATATCTGATATATTTTCACAATCAAATTTGAACACATTGCAAACTTGTGCCCTTATTGGTTATAAATAATGAGAAGGGTTGGAAATTTGTATGTAAGAGCTTACACTATACAGTGCATATCTTATTTATCATTGAGTCTGTGTGATTTTATTCTGTGTTTATATAAAGATTGTTTGGTTACATTACCTGTACATTTCTGTAAATACATAATAAAGAAATGTAAAACCTTTTGTTCCTGTCATTAATATAATTTTTTACGTACACAGAAAAAGGTAAAGGAATTAGAGCTGTTTATCAAAAATATTCTTACTAGTATTAAAAAATAAAGCTTAGGATGTATATAACTTTCTTATGAAGGGTAGAGAGACAATTCATAATCTTCAGCTTAACTTTTTCTCATTGGAACTGAACTTCATGAGTTAATCACATGAAATAAATAGATGTTACATATTTACAAGCATTAAAATAAAATAATTATGTAATTATAAAATATTTTCAACTAAGATTAACTTGATAATCTGTTCCTTAAAAACAGTAAAATATATGAACTGCATTTTCTGATTTTCTTTTTAAAATGTTTTAAAATATCAGATAAAATACTCTGTTTTTATTATTGTAATAACAATTTTTCTAAACAGATGTATACTTGTTTAGCTCATATTTGTCATCATAGTATGTATTATTTTTTATTGTCTCATCTTAGTAGACAGTCAAAATTATTCATGAATAATAAACAGTTTTGCAACATGTATATAGAAATTATTGATAGCTACACTGGTTTTGTTTTATATCAACTACTTTTGGTACACATCTAACTTATTCTCGCAAGTACCTAATATTTTCAGTGAGTGATGAAGTCTACAAAAATTATATAGTTGGATAATGTAGTTTCAATGTAAATTTGAATAAATTAAAAAGGTTTCCAAGTGGCAGTAAAGTGATAAAAGTCAAATATTATGAATGTAATTGCAATTAATTACTTATACATATATCTACTACATATAATTAAATCTCACAGGTGCAGTTATTTACTTGGATAACTAGCAGTGAGTAGTGGGTTTGTCGTAGTATCATAACATTTATAGTGTTCTTAGTTTAAGCTAGATTCAGGAGAGTGAGAAGTGTAAAGGTGTGTACTTGGGGAATGGTAATTTGGAAAGAACTTCTTTCTTGTATGTGAGAAGTGTAAAGGTGTATACTTGGGGAATGGTAATTTGGAAAGAACTTCTTTCTTGTATGTGAGAAGTGTAAAGGTGTGTACTTGGGGAATGGTAATTTGGAAAGAACTTCTTTCTTGTATGTGAGAAGTGTAAAGGTGTATACTTGGGGAATGGTAATTTGGAAAGGACTTCTTTCTTGTATGTGAGAAGCATTGCTGTTGTTGAAAAAGAAAATGATTTAGCTGGCCATTGTTGATAAAATCATAAAGTCTTGAGCTACATATTTAGCTATATTGAAAAGAGCAAATAGAGTCCTGGTTTTTTGCTCATATTTTGTTAGAGGTATAAACTTGTGAAATGGTTTGCTTAATTATGTAATCTGTATCATTAATTATTAACTTTTATTAATATATTACACTTGGATTGCATTTTTATATAGTTTACAGGACTTAAAATTAGCAGGGGCCTGGGAGCCAATGGCTCACAAAAATGCTGGCGGGTCCATAAAATGTGTCTGCTAGGTAACTGCGCAGCCCCTTAAAATCAAAAGAGCCATTAAAAGTTTGACTTCACATAAATTGATCTAAACATTTCTTAACCAAGCAGAACTTATGACAAACCATGATTGGATCTTCCCAAATTTACAAACATTCATCAGTCATATACAATCCACAAACAATGTCACTATGAATGCCCATGTATTCAAAGTAAATGCACTTTCATCAATAAGATTGCCATCACTTTGTCCAATATTCAAACTTTTTGTATCAGTGTAATGGAATTGATATATAAAATTTTGAATATAGAGTGATTATTTGAACTTTTACTACTGTTTTCAATCAGAATGCTACTTTTAAACTTTTTATATATGACACCAAGCTTGCATAAACTCTCACACACTTGAAAAATGTACATATAGGTTCTTTTTTTGTCAACACTTTCCAAACACAGGCAAATAAAAATTGCAAACTTGTAAGTTGTTTGGAGAATCTACCTTACTGCATGTACATTGTTTATAAATATATGCATGCTAGGGCAAACACTTTTCAATCTAACCTAGCAGACTGCACTAGCCAAAAAGAAAACTCGTAATATTACTGTTTTACCGATCATATCAAAATTGCAAATCACTGATTCCGATTATGTACAGTCAAGTTGAGGATGTCATTTTGTAGTATTGTTGACAGTTTAACCTTGAAAATTGTAACGACGACAGAGAATGTACTTTGAAGCATCACTAAATTTGAAATATTTGAAGTTATCAATAAATATGCCATGAAAAACAAAATCACTATCTCATTTCCGTTTTTTATTTCAGTGAGTGAAACAAAAATGGAGACTAACCTTGTGGCTAGTACATGATTGATACATAACGTTATGTAACCGTTGTGAGAGACAAACAAATTTTTGAGGTTCATTGCCTAAATTCATCATTTATTTCAACCATAAGTTTGAAGACTTTTATTATCACATTTTGAACTAAACCACTTTCTAAACCAAATGAAGTATTCCAACCAAAGGGCAAATAAAGTGGCAGTGTATTTTATGTATATAAGCATAAGCATACTTCAATAACAGCATATAACTGTATACACACTTAATAAATTCAGTTTTTTTTGTTCTAGACCAGATACAAGATGTGTAGCCCTATGTAATAGTAAAGTCCAGGTATATTTCTATAACCCTGGATTAAAGTCAAAATATCTAAAACTGTAAAATAGTATTCTGTATTTGTATAAAGAAGAAAAAGTTAAACCTGACAAGAGTGAAGTAATTTGGTTTAACTGATGTTAAGAAAGGAAAAAACATTTTATTCTCCATCCCCCACCAAAAAAAAGGATATAAGAATATACAATGAAGAGTTAAACTAAAATTAATATAGGAAGTAAGCAGTTAACATTCAGAACATTAAATAAAGAAAAAATGCTTTTGCTAGACTGTAAAAAGAGTATATAACCTCTAAGCATGCTAATGGATTGGTAAAAAATGCAAAGACTAACAGACTAAAAGTATGTTGTATATATAACTATTAAAATATCTTTAGAAACTAATTTGTAATTATCACAATAAATTTTCAATATTAGATAATAAAAATGAAATTATAAAGTATATCTATCTTCATTATGAAGAGATTAAAATGAAGTTTTAATATTATTTGTCTTTTATTTTTTATCATATTGCATCACTTCATTTTAAAGCCTGGAAATATACATGTACAATTTTGAAAACTGGTTAGTTGATTCCTTTTTAAAGGCTTTTATCACAATAGTGATATAATCTTGTCTAGCATCTCGTAATGTTACGTTTAATTATAAAACTTAATTTTGTGTGTTATTCATGTTCTGATATCAGTTATTCTTTTTTTTTTTTTTTCAGAACTCGATACGGCACAATCTATCTCTTAACAAGTGTTTCCATAAGGTTCCTCGCTCAAAAAATGACCCTGGTAAAGTAAGTTGTATTGTATCATTAGGGTTTGAAAAATAATTTAAACTTCATAATAGATGGTTGTAGAACATTAATCAAGGTAATGGAAAAATTATCTGTTGTGAAGGATTGAGCTGTTGCAGTAGCAAAAACTAAAAACTCTTATAGCACATTCTAATTAGCCAGTAATTTATGCAGGTGTAATATTATTAGACATATATGACATCATCTATGTAGACTCTAACTTTTTTCTCCCCTTTCATTAACCAACTATTCTGCCAATTTAGGCCAGCTTTATATCACGTCAAGCATATAAGATTATTGCGATTTAAAATTCTAAATTTGTGTATTGATAAAAAATTGTTGTAATATTTTACAAAGGAATAGAAATTGTTTGAAAGATCTTATTATAAAGATGTTAAATCAGTACCTGATATAAACTTCATTACTTTTAACTATAGTCAGTGAGCACCACAGTGGGCACAGTGAATTTGGCACCATCAGAATTTTTAGTACAGGTTAATTATTGTGCATTATATAAATTCTGATTCATTAGGGTTAGATCATTATGTTTAAGAACTTAGACCACCAAAAGTTCTTTTAGTAAAAAATCCATTGTCAATCCTAATTGTCACCTTAAAGTCATAATGGATGATGCCTGTGGTAATAGTTTCCAGATGTGTTTGGAATTTCCCATCTACCCGACAAAATCCAACCATAGATGTTAAGCTAGTGAGCAAACATGGGAGATCAGTTAAGGGTATGGAGTTGAGTGCTTACACCCACAACGTCTCAAACTCGTACTGTATTTCACTGTCTGCAGCCAGTTGTGAGAACGCAGTTATCCTTAAAAGTTCTTATAATTCCTAAAGTAGAAATGAAACCATTCTGAAATTTCTACTATATGAAACTTCCAACCTCCAACCTTATTAAATAATAAAAGATCTTAAATAAAACGAACTTAAATAGAACTACAAACCTTACCTTTATATTTCTTACATAGTTCATAATCACACTCTCATCCCTTTCTCTTGAAGATTTATTAAAATGTAGCATGGAAAATGCAAAACAAGCCCAGCTACTTAAAGTTTGTCTTTCCATCCTGGTATACTGAATAAAATTATAATTTTAAATTGAGCTACTTAAAAATGGATAACCTCTAGTGACAAAAAAAAAAGGCATTTTCCATGTCGAAAGTTTATTTTTTAAATATTTCCAATTTTCTTAATTGCCAGTATTTGTATTCATTATTTTCTTGTTTGTTATTATTAATTATTAAAAATATTTTTAGCTGAGATATAATGATGCCTTTTAACATCATGGAATAACAGTAGTGGGGGGTGGGTAGACCAAGAATGGGAAAATTAAATTCCCTTCTCATATCTTTGCCTTCTACTAAATTAATGTTCAAGTCTAAATAGTTAGCATGAACATTATTATTATTGCATTGGTTTCTAAATATTTATTTTATGATTTATGCAGAGTAGCTGATTGTACAAAAAGAATACTATATGTAGTATGTTAATGTTTCTGTTATACATACATATGTACAGTACTTAACTTTCAAAATAACCTGCTGGTATTAAGTCGTTGATAATAATGTAATGACTTATCATTGCTACTTTATTTCATTCATTCCAGGGATCTTACTGGGTCGTAGACTACAGATCAGTTGAAGTGTCGATCACGAAAAAGAAGAAGAAATCTGGAAAGGTATTGTATTAAGTTGCTATATGGAAAGGTATTGTATTAAGTTGCTATATGTGGAAAGTCCTGCAGTTGTAACATATCTGTATGTTTTTAAACTAAAACATAATTCTATTTCATAATTCCCACGTCAGTTTTAATCTCCGTTGTTTGTAGCACTTAGAAAATACAATAATACTAAAATAAATTAACTGAGGTAAAGTGAACCAACATCTTATTGTTATGTTTTGTCAGTAATTGAACAACATATATCCACTTACTGGTGTAAGGTTATGATTTGATCATTTTCCCCCATTCTCCATTGGAACCAGATCTCTGGCTTTTAGTTAATGAGACAATAGTGGAAGAACACAAGAATATTTAAGGTGGCTGGACTTTTGCTAGGGACCATCATTGTTAGAGGTCTGAACAATGTAGAAATGTGTGTGGTATCCCATAGAAAATAAGTGGATTGGTCCATTTATTAGTATTTTGGGAAAATTCTTTCTTTCAGCAGAGGGTTGAATTAATTAAATATTAATAATTGTGAGATGTGGCATGTACAATACTTCCTGTTTGTCACAACATTTTCCTGTAAAAGGCTAAGCTATGACCTGATTTGTTGTGATATTTAACCTTACATTGCCTTCTGGCCTATCCCAGGTTGAATTGATATAGAGCTTTAATTCCTGACTTTTTCTATATAAATCCATCTTATTTTGTGACCTGTGAATTTGTTTGATCAACTTAATGCAATGGCCAACAAGTTCCTATAAGAGTATGATAATCCTTTTCTGATGCTGTCAACTAACACAAACCAAGTGTAACCACCAGATCAAGCAACTCATTGTTAAACCCATGGTGCAAGGTGGAGCTGATGTTGGGGATGCAAGATCAACTTGTGCACTTGCCATCTCCAAGCTGCCACTGGCAATCATGTCGGAGGGTACCATTTGAAAAGGATGATATTGGCACACATGCTCAGTTTCAGGGTATCAAACCACCAAGATACATCAGGACAACATTTACCATCATCTCAAGGAGGTCCACTAGATTGTATTCTCTTAAAGTGTCTTCCCAGAACTATGGTTTGCCTTTAAGGCTAGGAAATGAACAGCAAGATAAGTAGAGGAGCTTCAAGCACCTCAGTCAATGCTACTGTATCTGTCAACCAGCACCAGCCAGCAATTTCTGAGAGATGTCTTAGTCAAGCCTAAGTGAATTTTCTCATAGCCAGGCTAAGCATGCTAGCACTAGAAGAATGATGATGACATAGCCATCCTTGTCTATGAGATTGACAAAAATATGGTCTTACGGTAAAGCTAAAGTGAACCAACATAAATGGGCTCCTGTTAATGGATACCAGCAGCTGGCTTGAGAAAAGTAGCATTTCCAGGATGAAATAACACTTCTTCATATGAGCACAGAGAAGACTATACCTAATTTTTCAGTTACTTTAATTATACACATTTTTTTTTTTGCATTATATTTAATTTGTACTGTATTGTGCTTGGTTCTATTTATATTAATTTCCTATCTGCATTTAAGTTGAATTTTGTTATGTACTTTTAATTTCATTTTGTGATGAGTTTAAATTTATGTTGTAACTTTAACTGGTTTTTGCATAAACATATTATTGGACAGCATATCATTTTGTGTTTTCAGTTTTGGACCTTATTTTAGTTTATGAATTGTATTTAACTTAGTCATATATGGTTTTTGTTTGTGACATTCTTGATTATGTATATACTTTCAGCCTTTTTATCTTATTTGTCATTATTTTGTTTGATCACAATTAGCACTACTCAGTTTTCTTTACCATTTTGTTTTGTGATGTAAAATTAAAGGTAACTTTGAATTTGATATTTTTTATTTTCTTCAGTTTATCTGATTTGGTTTGTTTTGGTTCTGACCTAAAACTGTGGAATCATCATTCTTCTGACTGTCTTCATCTCATGCAGATATGCTTTTCTTCAGCTTCAGCAGCAAGAGAAGTCTGTATAATGAATATTGAAGTTGGCCAATATTGGTAAAGATCCCGGCTTTTGTTTACATTTGGAAGAAGATTATGATTATTTGTTCATATGTTTTTGCTTGTTTTCTTGTGCTGTCCATGTTAATTTTATTCTCTACATAACATTTGCAGAACCTGCTGTATTTTAGATATTTGGTACTTTTCCGTCTAAAGACTTTCCTAAGATTGTTTTAATAAATTAAGTAAGGCTTATAAATTCTGATCCATAATTCTTGTACATTAATATTAGCATGATTAAGATTATATAATGTTTCTTTAAATTTACTTAGAACTGAATTTGAATTTTTATTTCCAACATTCATTCTCCCTGTTTGCTGTTCAGAGATTAACACTACTCTCTTTAGTTTAGAGTTGGATAATTACCAATATTTAGTAATGGATTAATAAATGGCCTGATTACAATTGGTTAGTACAGTGTTCCTCTAACCATGATGTGTACAAGTAAAAACAAACAACAAAAAAACCAGCTAGTGACAGGTGCTGCCAGAGAGTTTGCCTTCCTTTTAGTCAGCATTTTACCACCACCAACAACAACAAAAATGATTAATAGTGGGTGTTGCCAGCTAGTTGCCTTCTCCCTAGTCAGTAGTTAAACATTAGTGACAGTGGCAGATAATCTTAGTAGCTTTGACATGACAAAGACAAGACGAGCAAGTTTGGCAACAATATTTCAGGTACTTGGATAGTTGAAATAATTGGAAACCCGTATTTTGGGTAGTTAATTATTTTTGTGATAATTGATATATCATAGTTTTAATTAATTGATTTTGGAATAATCAAAAACAGTATTAATTAAAAAAACTTATTTTTATTTATTGATTTAACCATATTTTGGTTAATCAATTAGCTTATGTGACACAAACTCCCATGTGTGTGTGTGTGTATAAATGATATAATTTAATAGTATAGATCTATGACTAGTACAGTTTGAAATTATATATTAGATAATGTTATTAATTAATTTGTATAGATATTTAACCTTTGATAATATACTTTACAAAGCAGTACTATATTTTCTGCAAGTCTGTTATTCTCTGATAAAGAATTTTACAAGGGCATATCTTAAGATAAATTTATCCTCTATAACTCTTAATTTCCTTGTTTGGAACCTAATTTATCTTAATAAACATGGGATGTAAGATTTATTTAGCCTTATAATATTTAGTTTATTTATTTATTTTTAGGTTTAAGTATGACTGAGCATAATGTATATAAGTAGAATATTTTGCTACTATGATTTCAAGCTATTGTACTAAGATATTATGAGTATATTATAAAAAAAAAAGCATTATTGTTGGTAAATCATAAACTTAATATGTGATATACAGCATTTAGTTTATAGAGAGGGTTGAGTGTTTGTTTGTTTTTTTAATTTTGCGCAAAGCTACACGAGGGCTATCTGCGCTAGCCATCCCTAATTTAGCAGTGTAAGACTAGATGGAAGGTAGCTAGTCATCACCACCCACTGCCAACTCTTGGGCTACTCTTTTACCAATGAATAGT